CTTTCCTATTTCTCTCTTCAACCTTTTCTACTATCTACTTCCTAAGGTGTAAGACCGTATTGAAAGGATGAAAGGCCGACTCTGTGCCAGTCGTGAACGGCCTGGGGGAACCATGGGCGCAGCATTCCCGTTTAGTTGTCTAGCCCTTACCCCTCCGGGATCCTGTGGGGTGGACTGTTTTTCTCCCCAATATACTCTAGGCTTACCATGGTCAATAATGAAGATTTTGCACCCTTATTAGGCTTACCCCTTTATCAGCTAGGCCCACAAATTTATATTCTCCCGATTACCCGACCACAGGCTCTCCATCGAGCACGACTCTAAACACTGTTACTCCTACCCCCTCCCGAGTACTATTACATCGGTCAAGTCCAAATCACCCACACAGGTCATTACTCAACTTCCAGAAAACATTCCTCCTCTCCCACCATCATCTACTTAACCTCCTCCAACCCAACAAATTTCTTTGTCTACCACCCCCTCCTCCCTTATTACCACTCTACAGCCTTTTTGTCCACCTCTCTCAACACTGCTCCCTCTTTCACACGCCAACACTGTCTAGTCCAGCCCAAAAGGATCGATTTTACATGATCCCCTCAACAGCCCCTTTAGGCGAGGTTCAACTGGTCTTGTGTACACGCAGGTCTGGCAGAGCGCGGCGATGTGGGCCGAATCGGTCACTTTGTTGCGAAATCTGGGGGCTGAGAGGGGCCAGCGATAACACGAACGAGGTTTTTCCTCCGTTATCTCCAGGCTTTCCAGGGTGCAGTTTCAAATTATTGTTTGTAATTCGCTTAGAAATATTCAATATCTATAAAATCAACTAGAGTTATATTAGAGACTTTATTTAAAACAGAGTTAATCACAAAATTCGTTTTTTATTACCAAAAACAAATAAACAAGAATTGGCTAACTTGAAACTGAGGATCTACTCTTGCATCGACGGCCCGTCAGACTAACGTCAGTAATTCTGAATCTGTAAATTGGTTTCCCTGCGTCTTTCTTTAAAAAATATACACCATGAAACACAAAACTATGGTGAAACAGGGAACAGGTCCTTGTGCTACATGTTGCTCAAACGAGAAGTACTATGCACGGTGAGAGGCATGCGCGGTCTATTACGGCGGTGCTTTTCGCAGTAGAAACACCACGTCTGACTGGGCACTCGGACACAAGGTCTATATAGGTACTTATATAGACATAAGTCGGGTCCTAGACATGCACGGGAACAGTTGAACTGCGCCTTTACCCTACCCCGATCGTTTCTACCTTGACAGTTACATCTGAATCCCAAGCTAATGCATTATCAATCCTGACTGACTTCACTGGCAAATATATCCCTGTCCAGCCTTATCCCACCCTCAATACTTATGCCGGAACTGTCTCCATCTCCCTAACAAACAGTCCGTGCAATGCTACACCGTTCACCCTAGAGGCCGCCGTTAGTGTTGCCAAGATTACTTTCCTTAGACATGACCTCGCCCTTATTTGTTATATTGGTGGAGTCTTTCCCTGTCTGACTATATCAATCTCCCCAGCATCAATGTCAGAATTGGCGCGGTCTAGGCCACCCTGCCAAACACTGCCGCTCTACAGCCCGATGCTGTATGTGTCCAACCTGGTCATGATCGATCAAACTACTCTACACAATAATGCACATATGCCAATTATGGCTCCCATAATGTATTTTACTTGGGATGCCCTACCTACTAGGTGAAGTCTGAGGTGGCAATTCTCAGATTTAATGTTGACCTCACTTTACGTGAAGCCGGAAAGGAGGCACTTAGATGTTTTTTTTTTCTCTTACTCACTAAACCAGTACTGTCCTTCACTCCGCCCCCCTCCCTCCCGATATGTATCTGCATGCCCAGTATCTCTTCTCATCTCACTTCTACCCACCCCCTTTCCCAAATTCTTTCGCCATTCTAAATCCAGGTACCCCAATCTCCATCACTATTCCAAGCACTCCAATCTCTACTTCCCCATACTTACCCCTTTTCCTCCTCGCCCAACTCATCACGCAAAAACTAATCCTTCCACTCCATCTTTTACTGCATCCTCACCTCCTCCAACCTCTCCCTCCGCCCCTCAAACATGTCACCTCTTCTACCCATTATGAACAAAACTTTCTCAACTAACTCTTGAAGGCATTCAAAAGTATCTAATATGACCCAAAACATGCCTACACCACATCCATCTTATATCTCACTGCTTCCATTCCTTCTACACTCAAACTACCAACATTCATCCTCCTCCCAAGAACGTTCCCCCTACACCCCTTCCTCCCAAAACCCATCCCCACCTGCTTCAGCCACGTCACCTTCCCCATTATAATTTCCGATTAGACGTGACCCTTTGTCTCAACCACCCCTTTCTCTGTATTCCCTCTCTCCTTGCATATTTCCTGAAATAGTCATCTAATTGCCCTTAAACCCCTTCTTTTGCTAATCCCTAATTTACCCTACTGACATCCTTACAGAATCCCACACTTCTTTCTTTGACAACTTTGAGCTAGTCACCCTTGTCAATCCCTTCCTTCGTGAACTGCTATACGACTTCTGACGTGTAGCATATTTAATCAACTAACCTCTTTCTTAATCCTTTTCACTATTGCATCTTTCTATAGTGCTATATGACCTTTGATGTCTAGCACATTTATTTTGTTTTGTCACTTCATTATTTTCTACATTCCATTGTGTAAAAAAGTGCTGGTGTGCCGAGGCTCAATGTTAGGGATCTCTTCAATCTTGGGCCCTAGTCCTCAGCTCAACCAGTATTACATGGTCTTTTCACCCCTTTTCTTTCCACTTCCTAAGGTGTAAGAGTTGTGCTAAAAGAATGAAAGATTGCTTTTATCAGTCCTCTACACACTCCGGGAACCATGGGCACGGTATACTTGGTTATTCATTGTGCCATTACCCGTTATGCATACTCTGAGGGGTAATCTGTTTCTCTTTCCCACTCACCATAGCAAATAAAAAAGGTTTTGTACCATTATTATGGGCATGTAAGCTTTCCACTCTATCAGCTAGCCTACCTGATTTTATTCATTTATTGAAAATTTCCTGCTATGTCAACATCAAAGGTAATTAGCGGCATATTCAAGAATTACCGATAGGGCAAGGCTTGTGGGTGAAGCACCAGGTAAGGAAAGGCTTTATAGCATTAAGTATTGTAGTGAAAAGGTTAAAGATGAGTTGATTAGGACAAAATGTGTTAGATGTCAAAGATTGTTGAGCGCTGCAGGTTAGTATGGTCGTGAAACAGCTATAGAGAGAATAACAAATGGTTGTTTGCAGTTAGTATGTTTACCCGGTGATACTAATGCTACCCCTTCCTTGATACTTGCCGTCAACTTATTCCATTGAATCATACCACCAGGTCATTACCCAACCTTCAAAATACACGCCTTCCTCTATAACGAAATCTTCCACTCCTCCTCCTCCTCCTCCACCACCATTTTCATTTTCTGTCCCCTCTTCTCTTAGTACCATTCATCTTGTCCTCCTAACAGTACTACTTTGCTCCACACAACTCCTCTTTTCTCCTGTCCTCCTTGCCCTACTACTTCCATCAATACAAACATCTTTTTTTACAGCCAAGTGGGATCAATTTTGTGTGATTCACCCTATAGCACCTTTGACAATACCCATCTCTCCCAGCAATGTCTCCAAAAACACGTTGACAAAGTTTCCTTACACAGCCGTTCTGAATGTTTATGCCTTGTAATAGTTACATTGGAATCCCACTCTTATGCATTATCTGACTGCCTGATATCACTGCCTTGCCTCACTCTTCCCTTAATACTTGTACCAGAACTTTTTATCTCCCCAGCCGATTGTCTTGTCTACAACAAAGACTGGTCTGACAAAGTGACCAGCAAGCCACCCTCATTATGATGTAGTATCTAGTCCTACAAAATTCATTTATAGGTTTTCTGCCACATCAAATTCTCAGGTCATTACAGCAGAGTATCAAAAGCAGCCATCATGAGTACTACACCAATATAGCCAAGGTTAACTTTTGTGGTCATGACCCCCCTTGGAATTTTACAATAGCATATAGTTCTACCTTGTCCAACCACAACTGCTCCCCTGTCCGACATGTTTGTATTTTGGCAAGGCAGTCACTCCTAACTTCCCTGGCCTCTTCAGTACCTAACCTGGTCATGACTGTTCCAGTTGCTCTACAAAATCACACACATGCAAAAAATGTGGTAGTTCTCATAAATATTTGGCAATGAGCTGCATTGCCTACAAATCCAAATGAGTTCACAGATTCAAACTTGGCGACGCCAGACAGGAAGCTCACTGGCGAGATTTTTCTCGTTCCCTACTCCAACTGTCCTTTGTTCTGCTTCTCCTTTCTTCCCAAGAGGTCTCTACATCTTCCCCATTTACAATTCCTCCCAAACCCTTGCCATCCTACCTCTAAACCCCTTTCTTTCTCTTCATCAGTTTTTTGCCTGTCTTAATCAAATCTATACCACTTCCCTCGTGCTTGCCCCTCCTCCCCACTTTACCCGTCACATCAAGCAATTTAAATGTTCGACCTTATCTCCTACCACATTGTTCCATACTCCTGCCTCTTCCTCTGTTCCTCGGACATCTGTTATCTCATCTTCATAACAGTCTTTGTTTCTCAGACCTCCTCACACAAACCCCATCCAGAAACTTTTGAGGACATCCAAAACTCCTCTTCCTCATCCACCTTCCAATCTCTACTTCCATTTCCTCTACATTCAAAGTAACTGCCAACATTCCTCATTCTCATGTTACCCCTACCCCTCTTCCTACCACTCATTCCTAATACACTCAATCCACTTGTGACAAGTGTTCTACCTCAGATCCTTTCCCTGCTGATGTTCTTCCTGATACTTCACCTCCGCCTTTTAGTCCCCCCCCCTCCCCCTCAACAAAGTTATAAACTACCACAGCACGGGCAATAGTATAAAAATTGTTCTTATCATATATGAAAGGGATTGAAACAAAATAACATAGTAAGTTTTACACATTTATTGACACAATTCACATTATCTCACCTTAATAGAGTGGAGAGATGAGATACTTGATGGAATGTGACCGGACAACCAACGAACTTCCTTAAACAGCATCACAACTCTGTTTGAAGAGGTTGTTATCACACCTAAACTAAGATGCATACAAGTGATGTTTTAACACCCTTACATTACACTTCAAAAGTACATGTAGTGTTGACAGTATCCAAACTATATACAGAGATATTTTACAGTCAAACAAAGTTTAATACAGAACATTGTTCTACCTAATACCTATACAGTGAAACCTATAAGGGGGAAAAAGTAATGATAGAAAAATCTTAAAGGTAGGAAAAAAATAATAATAATAAAAAAAATAAATAAATAAAAAAAATCTTGTGAAGTCAGTCTGTGGAACCATTGAATGCCCTTTTGGGATGTCATACTGGGTAGGGCTGGGAAGAGGCCGAGTGGGGGAGGCAGAGAAGGGAGTGTGAAATGAGGGGGGTCACCTGGCTAACACAAAGTGGAGGCTGCAGTGTCCTTCAGTACTTCTGCATCTCTCAACATGCATCGTCTGTGGCTCGACTGAAGTCCTGACGCTCTCAACTGCTGAAGTGTATAGAAGAGGTCTTCTTTCTTCTTGCCAGATGTTACCCTGTGAAACCCAAAATACAGTCAGACTGTGATACAGAGGAATTTTAGTGATATTAACTGATCAACACAGGCGAAGAACACTACTTGACACATGATTACAGAATTTGGGTGCAGTTCTAATAAGAAAAGTCTTTGAAATTATAGATCCTGAACTGTTGCCCCCTAACAGAAGTATCTTTGGCTGGTATGCAAACTCACAGTATATAACCATACATACAAATCTGATGCAAAAAACAAGATTCTCTTTTCTAGAAATAAAAATTTGATCATTGTGAACTTGGCTTATGCTGTGAGTTGAAGCATCAAAATGTATCAATGTAAAATGTTCAGTCAGATTTAGAAGAGAGCAAAATATACTAAACACATCATCAATTGGACATGATAGGGTAGAAGCCCAAATAACTGAATTTCTCATCAACTCTGAACCTACTAATACATGGAAATATAAATATATGTGTATATATATAAATATGGAGCTAAATTAATTGGACAAAATGAACCCTGCTGCAGTACCATAATGTCCCATAAAGCATATAAAAACCACTTCATAATGTAACTGGTTTTTCTAAGAAATTACTGAGTAAAACTTTGCGGTTAGGCACATTTTCTGTCACTGTAAGTTACCCACTTACCTCCAGAGACAAAATAAGTGGTACAGACAAAGCCTTGTTCGGCTACACCAACGACAATAGGCTCGACTGGTAAGACAGTAGGTGTGGTCAAGAAAACCTGAATTATTGGATCAGGACAACAAACATGAAATAAATACAAAAGCTTAAAACAATACAGATGAGTAAATCTCCCAAGGCCTTTTAAAATATGAATAAATGCAAGACTTGTCTTAAAATTCAAAATTGAGGTCTTACATCCAATCTTCCCAAGGGATGTAAAAATCTTCACCTTAAATATTGTCTCCTTTAATTTTGAGCAATCTTACACCTATCATAATAATCACAATTAATAGTACATTATTAGGTTGAACAATACTGGTCATGGCATCTCCCAAGCAAGAAATGTGCAATGAGAAAAGAGCACTGAATACACAAATCAAAAGTACTACTTACAGTGTACTATAATTATAATAACCCCTTGACTGTTCAAAAAAAAAATTATTATTTTACTGTATATAACCAACCTTTATTTCTAACAGACAAGAAAAATTACAATGTGTATATTAGCTAAAAACAAGTTCTCTTATTTTCTAACCTTAGAAAGAGTTAATTCCATCACTATTCTCCACACGTGCCTTTTTTTTTTATTATTATTATTATTTATTCATGTCATACCAGATGCCCAAAACTCTGAAAGAAAAGCTTATATATTCAAGATGCATAATTCTTTTCAGACTTAATCAACTACCACTGTTACCTTAGATTTCATTTACCTTGAAATAAATTAAGATTGATGGAAAGCTGTGTAACTGAATCAGATTATGACAGTGAAAGGCAAGATGACCTAGACTAAAATGACAGCCAAATTACTGGCCTCTGAATTTACATTACACTATTTCCTCTAAAAATAAAAATAATAACTGTATATGTAAAAATATGATGAGACAGAGACAGTGCTTCCTTTATTATGGTCCTCTTTCATCTATTCTTCGTTATCGTTATGAACAAAAAAGCATTTTATCATCAGAGCATCACAACCTTTAAGACTAGATTACATTTAATCAACCTAAGACATATGGAATCTATATAATTTTCCTTTTGTTTGTCCCTCTTTTCTTATTTCATTAACAACATCTTAAAAGCATACATTCCTAAGAACTGAAATATTTTAATCCTTTCAATTAGAAATAAGCAAAATGTTGTAATAATGGAAAAATACAGGCTATGTAAAATATGAGCTGCTTAAATGCAAACAAAACCTTTCACAAAAGTCCTTGTGTGTGTTTTTGCCAAATTCTAGGAATGCAAGACTATGTTCTGATTACATAGAGTGGGGATGAGAAAAAAAAAATAATCCATAGGTAAAAAAATATAATAATAATAATAATAATAATAATGATAACCTACAAAAGTGGAAATACCCAATCCCCAAAGAAAAATGTTTATATTCAAAACCACAAAACTTTATTAAAAATCTCCTTAATATCCAATTCAAGCTTGTTATCAAATGTTTGGCTAACAGCAAAAGAATGGATCATAAAATCATACATTTAAATAAATTCAATCTTAGAAAGTACAAAAAATCTCAGCAACATTAATTGCAGACATGTTTATTGTAACTAGCATCATCTTAGATAAACCAACACAACTCAGCTTTCTTTATCAAGATCAATTGTTAGCCAAAACTAGAAAAAACAAATCGTCAAGAAAGGCGCTGTGTGGATGTTAACTCCAAATAAGTCAACCAAATCAAACAATTTATAGACCAATAATCACTGGTTTATTCCGATTCTTTAGGATATTTGGTTAGTAAACGGTGCAACAAAAATATCAGCTAACATAGCTATGAGAAGCCACTGCTAAACTATTCCTCAGTTTCAAAGCTGCAACTGCTACAACTGAAAATTAATCAACAAGGGAGAAGAGAAAGTAAGAAGCCTTTTTCTTCCTTTTACTAAGTCTTCACCCCTTGGAATATAAATATCAACATGAATACATGTACAGTGTATGCATATGTATACATATATATATGAATGTGTGCCTGAGTGCGTGTGCATATGCGCATGTACCTCTATGTGAGTGAGTGAGTGTGTGTGTGTGCGCATGTATGTGTGCATGCATGTATCTGTGTGTGCATATGTGTATCTGCATGTGTATTCATGCATGTATCTGTGTGTACGCGCATATTTGCATGTGTATGTGTGCATGTATGTCTGTGTTTGTTTGAGTGCACATGTGTATGTGTGTGCATCAGAGTGCATGTGTATCAGTGCATGTGTGTGTGTGCATCAGTACATGGGCGTATATATCATGTTTGTGCGTGTATCTGTGAGTGTGCATATGTTTTATCTGAGCGCACATGCGCATGTATGCTGTGTGTGAGTGTGTGTGTGTGATGTGTTTGTGTTTATCTGAGCGCACATGCGCATGTACCTGTGTGTGTGTGTGTGTGTGTGTGTGTGTGTGTGTGTGTGTGTGTGTGTGTGTGTGTGTGTGGTGTGTGTGTGTGTGTGTGTGTGTGTGTGTGTGTGTGTGTGTGTGTGTGTGTGTGGTGTGTGTGTGTGTGTGTGTGTATGTTGTGTGTGTGTGTGTGTGTGTGTGTGTGTGTGTGTGTGTGTGTGTGTGTGTGTGTGTGTGTGTGTGTGTGTGTGTGTGTGTGTGTGTGTGTGTGTGTGTGTGTGTGTGTGTGTGTGTGTGTGTGTGTGTGTGTGCATGTGTGTTGTGTGTGTGTGTGTGTGTGTGTGTGTGTGTGTGTGTGTGTGTGTGTGTGTGTCTGTGTGTGTGTTGTGTGTGCATGTATCTGTGTGTGTGTGTGTGTGTTGTGTGTGTGTGTGTGTGTGTGTGTGTGTGTGTGTGTGTGTGTGTGTGTGTGTGTGTGTGTGTGTGTGTGTGTATCTGTGTGTTGTGTGTGTATCTGTGTGTGTGTGTGTGTGTGCATGTATCTGTGTGTGTGTGTGTGCATGTATCTGTGTGTGTGTGTGTGTGTGTGTGCATGTGTATGTGTGTGTGTGTGTGTGTGTGTGGCATCTGTGTGTGTGTGCGTGTATCTGTGTGTGTGTGCGCATGTATCTGTGTGTGTGTGCATGTATCTGTGTGTGTGTGTGCATGTATCTGTGTGTGTGTGTGTGCATGTATCTGTGTGTGTGTGTGCATGTATCTGTGTGTGTGTGTGTGTGCATGTATGTGTGTGTGTGTGTGTGCATGTATCTGTGTGTGGTGTGCATGTATCTGTGTGTTGTGTGCTGTATCTGTGTGTGTGTGTGCATGTATCTGTGTGAGTGTGTGTGCGTGTGTATGTGTGTTGTATGCATGTATCTGTGGTGTGTGTGTACATGCATGTATCTGTGTGTGTGTGTGTGTGTGTGTGTGTGTGTACTGTAGTGTGTGTGTGTGTGTATCTGTGTGTGTGTGTGTGTATCTGTGTGTGTGTGTGTGTGTGTGTGTGTGTGTGTGTGTGTGTGTGTGTGTGTGTGTGTGTGTGTGTGTGTGTGTGTGTTGTGTGTGTGTGTGTGAGTGTATGAATATCCCTGTGTGAGTGTATGAGTATCTGAAAGTGTGTGTATGAGTATCTGAGTGAGTGTGTGTATGAGTATCTGAGTGAGTGATGTGATGTATCTGTGTGTAGTGTGGAGTATCTGTGTGTGAGTGTGTGTATGAGGAGTATCTGTGTGTGAAGAGTGTGTATGAGGAGTATCTGTGTGTGAAGAGTGTGTATGAGGAGTACCTGTGTGTGTGAAGAGTGTGTATGAGGAGTATCTGTGTGTGAAGAGTGTGTATGAGGAGTATCTGTGTGTGAAGAGTGTGTATGAGGAGTATCTGTGTGAAGAGTGTGTATGAGGAGTATCTGTGTGAAGAGTGTGTATGAGGAGTATCTGTGTGTGATGAGTATCTGTGTGTTGTATGAGTATCTGTGTGTGAAAGTGTGTATGAGGAGTATCTGTGTGTGAAGAGTGTGTATGAGAGATCTCGTGTGTGAAGAGTGTATGAGGAGTATCTGTGTGTGAAGAGTGTGTATGAGGAGTATCTGTAGAGTGTATGAGGAGTATCTGTGTGTGAAGAGAGGTATGAGGTATCTGTGTGTGAAATCTGTGTGAAGAGTGTGTATGTGTGTTGTATGGAGTATCTGTGTGAGTGAAGAGAGTGTATGAGGAGTATCCTGTGTGTGTGTGAAAAGAGTGTATGAGGAGTATCTGTGTGAAAAGAGTGTATGAGGAGTATCTGTGTGAAGAGAGTGTATGTGTATCAGTATATGTGGAGTTGTGAAGAGAGTGTATGAGGAGTATCTGTGTGTGAAGAGTGTATTATCTGTGTGTGAAGAGAGTGTATGAGGAGTATCTGTGTGTGAAGAGAGTGTATGAGGAGTATCTGTGTGTGAAAGAGAGTGTATGAGGAGTATCTGTGTGTGAAGAGAGTGTATGAGGAGTATCTGTGTGTGAAGAGTGTTTATGAGTATCTATGTATCTGTATATCTGTGTATGTGTGCATGCCTATTTGTAATTGTGCATGTGTACGCATTTTTCAGATACACTAAATTATGCATAACATAGAAAAAATAAATTAATTAAAAAAATAGGCTCACAGACAGAGCTTTACCAACTCCAAAGACTCATGAGAGAGAGCCAGAACCAGAGCTTAGAATCTAGTTATCACTGGAGGTTAGCAGGGACCACGGGTACCAGCTCATGGCAGGCAAACAATGTACCATGTGCACTCACCTGGTGAAGAACCTGTAGGGGGGAAAAACCACAAACATGTTGCCACTTACCTCAAGAGGAGATCACTCACTGGTTAAGCCTTCATTTCCCGCTCATCGGACTTTATTCTCCACATCTCCCTCTCGGCTCCTCCTTCACAATTGCCCTGTCACTCATCAGTATTCACGGTGGTACAGATCGCCTGGCAGAATATGAAATATAGTTGTAGAAAAAAAGTCAATCAAGCTTCTCAACCAACTCTTTACTGATAAAAATTAATTAGCTTTTATCAAGGTATTACAAGGTAAACATATGGATTACTTACTTTCTCTAAATAATAAAACTTAAGAACTTTAATATTGGGATATACTTTTAACTGCTAACAAAGTCAAGTTCAAAATTGAAAACAGTAATAAATTTTTACTTACATAATTTTTTACACATATATAATGGATAATTAAGTTACATAAAGATTTAAAGTATATTCTATTTCTTATGGTTTAAGGTTTCAGTATATCTACTTATCTTACTAGAAAGACTAGCATTACAATGAAATGCTATGGTTTATGGGTCATTTGGAAAATTTAGCAAATAAATTCCCACTTTTTAGACAATTCTGCCAGATTGATGGTAACTGCAATTTTTTTTTTTTTTTTACTTTTGGTAAAATATTCTAGTTCAATAGATGCAAGAAAGTATGTATTACAAGTTAGCCCAAGAGTGCAAAAACAGGTACCCATGTTCAAGTGCTTAGTCACCAAGGAGTCAATTATCAGCCATAAATATTTCACCTATATATATCTTTCCTTGATATCCAAAAAGATTCTTTTTTATTGTTTTATTATCTTTGTTATTAGTACGTTAATAACAAAATAATAACATAAAAAATAATATTATTATTAATAATAATATGAATATTACTAACTATGCAAGAACAATATCCCACAAATTTGAGGAATGGGGAAATCAGGTGCAGTCACTAAAGCCTACTAACTGATGCCTTGGTGCCTAAGCATACGTAGAGCTATCTGTGTGCAACAAAATTCACAAAATAACTATAGTGGACAGTGCATAAACCTGCAGCCGATGGGTTAAGGAGAATTAATTCCTGAAATCCAAGCAAGGTGGGTTTTCACTTCACTATCTGGTTTCATCAATATACACACACTAAGAAAATGGTGAGAAAACTTTGGACACCAAGAAGTCAAATACTTAAATAACACACTCGTGTTTACCTTCCTCAAATGCAAAGTAAATTGTATTTTCAATCACATTTTTCTTTATCATAACTTTCTTCTCCTTAATATTATCTATCCATCTATTTAAATACAAACAAAGAACACTAGTTTATTCTACTTTATAAATAGAAATACTACTGGTATGACTCGTGACTGGACATAGATGGTGAAAAACCAATGAGAATTTGTCTTTATTGCAAGACATTGATAGAAAATGTGTTAACCCTCACTACCCACTTCAAAAAGTAAAAAACAATCAAAACATATATATATACATATATATATATATATATATATAGTATATATATATATATATATATATATATATATATATATAATATATATATATATAATATATATATATATATATATATATATATATATATATATATATATATATATATTATATAATATCTCCAATAGCTACAAATTATGTAATGCTTTACATATCTATATCCATCTCTTCCTTTTTTTTTTTTTTTTTTTTTTTTTTGGAAGGGAAGGGAGGTGTCTTTAACATACAGCTTGCTACATCAACAAATATCAATAACTAATAATAGCAAAACAGTCAAGGTGCATAAATCGTAAGTGCAATAAATGCTCTGTCTCAAATTCTACTGAAATTCATGCAAGTAAAGGAAACCTATTTGGAAAATAGCTGTCCACTGCAAAAAGTGTGTATATTCAAAATTATTTGAACTAGGAACGCAAAACTTTTTAAACATTGTTAATTCTTCTCTCTGAATAGCTGTATCAGATTTCTACATGCAAGAACGCATACAAAACAACCATAAGATGAAACTATTATTAACAGTGAACTAAACAAAATGCACAGAGCATCATACTAAAGTCTCCACGAATAAATGGAACAATCAACTTACAATTAAGACAATGTTAAGACTTCCAAAGGAGGAGGAGGAGGGGGAGGGGGTAATCTTTGCAAGTGTGTAAAGTGGGGGAGCACAACAAAGGGACAGTTATTGCAACCATTCACCATCTCTTCAATGCAAAACTATGTAAGATTCTTCCAGTAAATCAGTTTCTAAAAATATAAGTATATACAAAGGCCCATCTGCATACCTTTCAACCCAACACTTTTTTTTCTTTTAAAAGCACAATACTATATAATTATCATACCTTTATCCCTATCACACCAACATTCAATCACAGACAGATCTAAATCATGCAAACTCCCCAACATGCAAAGACTAAAACGAGACATACTTAAAAATTACCATTTTCTTCCCTGTGTCTCCTTCTATCATGCTCGCGACTTCGTGAGCGGTGATGCCTGTGAAAAAAGACAGCATGAGAATATATAAAATATATTTTCCAAAACTGTAAAAAAAATACATATTCTTCTCCTAAAAAGACAAATACAAAAATACGCAAATGAACACATACAAAATAATATAAATATAAAAAATTCAACTCTTCTCTAGTTCTCACCTATCTCGGTCTTTCTCTCTCCTATCTCTGTCTTTTGAATGTGAACTTCTATAATCCCTGTCTCTGCTGCGGGACCTCCTCCTCTCACGGTCACGGCTGCGTGATCGTCTCCTGTCACGATAATCTCTGTCCCTCATTCTATCACGGTCTCTGTCTCTACTTCTCTCTGCACGCTCACGGTCTCGATCTCTGTCACTGCTGCAAAAGTCAAATGACAAACAATGAGCAATGTCATAATGTATAGGGATAAATAATTTCTTAAATTATTCTGAATTTATATTTGATAGAGAAAAAAAGTCATAAATAAAAACAAGTTAAGCTCACATACCTTCTACGTCTACGGTCTTCATCTTTTCTTCTCCTCTCTTCTCTTTCTTTCTCTCTACGCTTTTCTTCTTCTTGTAAGGCTTTGCGTCTTTCTTCTCTTTCCTTTTCTCTCTGACTCTCTCTCTCTGCTCTTGCCTTTTCACGACTCTGTAGAAAAAAGAAAAAAAATTGAACATACATACCCCAAAATTTACGATAATCCATACAAGTTAAATCATTATCTAAACATTTGCCTACTCAAATACTTCCACTATATTTACCGAATATTTTACCAAAAAGACAAAAATAAATAAATAAATAAATACATAATAAATAGATAAATGGATAAAATAATAGTAATAAAAACATTAATAAAAACAATTAACAAATTCTACTCACATCTCTAATTTCCTGAATGGCTTGACGTAGCTTTGCAAAACCCACATGCTGCTTTCCTGTTAAGTGGTCATCAATTCGTTGTTGTGCATCGCCCACAATCAGGAAAGCACCACATACTTCACACACCTCCATCTGCTTTTCTTGTGAAGCTGCCATCTCTGCAGCCTGGTAAGTTAACGGCAAGCAACAAAAAGAATTATCCCCATGTCAACTTCAGATGACCTGTTATGCTTCTCTCTCCTCATAAGGCAGGATATACATACACAACACACTATATAATATATATATAATATATATATATATATATATATATATATATATATATATATATATATATATATATATATATATATATAAAGGAAAGAAATACCTGATGCCACACAGAATTTTCATTACTTCTGCGCAGTGAGTCTCTCTCTTCTCGTAGTTGATCACAAAGTTTAAGGAGACCTTGCGCCTCTTCAACATTTCCTTCAGAACCTAGTCTTTCAGCCTCACTTACTAAACCTGTAATTCTTTCAGAAAGGAGTTCCAGCTGCTCATCTACTCTCCCATCGCCTGTTGTGCTGCTGGCCTGTAACAATGTAATTATCAATGATGAGCATATTTATGCTTCAAGTCTCAAATCACTTCTAGATGTTCCCTAATAAAAAAAGGTAAAATAAATAAAGCCAACCAGGGCGATTCAGACCTTTACAAATACCAGGGGAAAAGAGTCTAGTCCCTTATTTCATATGTGAGATTTTTATTAATAAAGGATTTGTGGATTTGAATGTTCAGGGCAGTGCAAAAACTATTTATATATTTCTTGTGTGATTACAACTGCAAAATTCAAAGTACATATAACAGTATGTGCAAATGTAGCAAAATAAACCTGGTGGTTAACTGTTGCCTGATATTCATGTTTTAGTCAAGTTTATTTATCATACAACCAGTTTTCTTGTTTTTTTTAAAGGGGGGGGGGATACTGTGTGTGTGTGTGTGTGTGTGTGTGTGTGTGTGTGTGTGTGTGTGTGTGTGTGTGTGTGTGTGTGTGTGTGTGTGTGTGTGTAAATGGTTAATCAATTCAAGGCTAGGTCCACAATCACCCCAATAAGACCATGATCAACCCAAGGCTTAAACCAAATCATTTTTGGTTGTAGTCCACCTACCACTGCATGTTACTCTTTAAGTTTTCATTAAAACTTCCTAATTTTTTTGTGCCATGTAGGCCATACCCTACTAATGTACCCATTTTCATTTTCAATCAAAATATATGAAGTTATTAAATAATAGGTCCAATTCTTCACTAAATAAAGAAGTACTCACCAAGGCATCCTTCACTGACAATGATAACCGTTGTTTTCCTTTTCTTATTCTTTTGTCTACTTCCGTAAGCATAGACTCTGCATATCTAACAAATTCATCTTCGAAGGCAGTGCGGCGATAGGAGTTGGCAGCTTCAAATTCCCTTTTTAATTCCTCGTCATGGACAGGCTAGAAAAAGTTAGAGGAACAACTCTTAATTTATCTAATAAATAAATATATTCATATATATCATTAATACAAATGTGTTGCAAGACAAACATTTTTTTTTTTTTTTTTTTTTTTTGTCAAAAATTTATTTAGATACCAACCTTGTCACATGGTCCAAGATCAGACTTTGTATTTGTAAAGAGGTCATGTGGACAAAACTTCACCAGGTAGTGACGACACACCTGTAGATTAGAAAAGTTGTAGTTAGTCGCTTATATCATATATTCCCACAGATTACATAAAAAGGATATATTGAGAGACTTGTTCCTCTTCCCTATAAAATACTGGTCATAATCCACCCAAAATATTAATCAATTACCCTTTTTTCAGGACATATAACAATCTCTATGGTACTTTACCCTCAGTCTTTATAAAAAAGAAAAAGAAAAAAGAAGAAAAGAAAAAGAAGAAGAAGAAGAAGAAGAAGAAGAAAAAAAAAAAAAAAAAAAAAAAAAATTTAAACTGCAACTGCACTGCAAAAAATAAAGAGATGAAAGATCCAGCAATGGAATGATTGTATGGCTCCTAATTACCGGATAGCTTGTTTGTAAACCATTTCTTTTACTTAAGCTGTTTTCTATCCAAATTCACTTAAACTTGTAATGATCTACAAAGACTCTACTGCAATGCCTTTACCTTTTACTTATATTTTAGAAATTACCTTTACTTATCTTTTACAGATGGCACACTTGTCAGGAACAGGAAGAGGTGTCTCACCACTTTACAGCATTCAATTTTTTTTATCAATAATGGAATTTCTCAATGATTCTTTTTCTTTTTACCATAAACATTCAAAATTTATAAATTTTTTCTGACCTATTAGATAACCATCTATTTTTTTTTTTTTTACAGCATATGCCATTTTCTCAAAAGGCCATACTATTTTGCAACCTGCTGTTTCAAAGTTAATGAATGCCTTGTTCATACAATGGGCTGTAACCTGCATGGTATTGGCAAATGGCTAGAGGAAAGGATACCATATGCACTTCTGTATCTTGTGAAAGGGCATTTGGTAGAAACTGAGTTGCAGCATGCCACTCACAGAACACACTTGGCTTCTATCAGGTGAACAACTAATGGCTTGCAGGAACCTTGACTCTACCAGAATTCCATCACATTTGCACACTCCTTCCCTCTTTGCTACATTAGTAATGATGGCATAATATCTACCTTTTTTCTACTTCAATAATAAAAAAAATTCTAGAGCATAAGGCAAAAATGCTCAACAAAAGCTATTCTTGACCCTGACATAGAAATGTCACATGGCATGATACTTTAGTCTGGACACTTCATACTTTTGCTTACACTTGGTTTATTTCCTATCTACACCAAAAAACACTTGTGGTATATCAGAGCACTCCTGAGTTCTAAGTAAGTTACCAATTTTTCTTTTCCTGAGTTTGGGTGCACTTTTAATTAATTCATTTAATCTAATACATAATATTTATAATTTATGATGTCCTAGTTAAAGAAATGAGACCTTGTGTGGTGAAACTGATATACAAATTGTGTAATATACAAGAATACAACAATTTCAACAATAATTCTATGTAAAGTCTGCACTTTGTTGATACAATGAAATTAGAATCACTGCACTTCTAATGTGTAATATCCAATTATAGCTGTTAAGTCATGAACACCATCTGTTTTGATATAGTTCCTTAATAGGGTAAGCAGAGCATATACCAGAGAAATTAAGGGAGGAGGGGATCATAAAATAGTAGTATCTGAATCTTGAGTCATTTTCACTCAAATTTGACCGCATAGTACCATGATTAAATTGCAGTTCTGAGAAACTAAGCAATGAAAACTATTCTTATATCAACCAAGAAAGTTTTTTTTTTTGCAGTTCTGAGAATAATTTTTTTTTTGCAAACACAACTTAGAGCAGCTTTGGCACATTTGGCAGAGATGTAAATGCCACCTGGAAAGGAGACCAACCATAATATGGCATGTGCATATATGCCAACCATCAAGTAATGGGTTATGCAGAAGTCATCTGTCTAGAAAAGAGCCATCTACCAGGAAAAAGGAATCCTGGGTATTCAATTTGAATTTAACCCATTAACGCAGGTATATTTTGTAGCGGGACGCCCGGCAATGTTTATTTTTTCGGTGTCTCATATGTGGGACACCCGTTGTTAGCGAGTCAAATTTGACCGCATAGTACCATGATTAAATTGCAGTTCTGAGAAACTAAGCAATGAAAACTATTCTTATATCAACCAACCAATCATCAAGTAGATGAAGTTTCTACCAAGTAGCCTGGATACAGATGCTGGATGCAGCATGACCCAACTTAGTGTGCTAAATATATGTTGTGGCCAAGTTGCAGGCCAGGGCTGCTGCAATACTCACTCTCCAGTGAACAAGCCATGCAAGCGATTCACTGTAAGACTAGCACTTCTTTGAAAAATATGGAGGCCTGGCCGACCTCTTGCTAATGGCCTCATTTCTGCGGCATCAGCCGCATAGCCAACGTACGTACATGCCATGGCATCATGCACGCAACTTAGGCATCATTTTAAATGCGTCAAAGGTGCAACTTTTGTCGCATACGTACAATATTAATTCATTCAGGTGTGACAAAACTCAGAAGATTAATAAGAGGAAAGTTAGATGCAATTTCAAAAAATCTCTTTTGAAATACACCTGGTTTGATAACAGTAAGCTCGATTTTGAAACAAATTTAAAGTTTGTCAATTTGTATTTGAGAGAGAGGTTTTCTTTCGAATCTGCACGGAGTGAATTTAATTTACCGAACAAGACTATTTGCGATTGGGCGAGCTTCTACAGGGAAGATCTAATTTTTTTGTGCTTTGAAAATCAATCCGACAAAATAGGTGGGTCGGGAAATTGTCGAGGTTGATGAATATAAATTTGGAAAATGAAAATATAATGTTGGTAGAATAACTAAAGGTCAGTGTTTTTTTTGGGAGGAGTATGCCGCAATAGCGGAAAAAAAATTCTCGCACCCGTGGAAACCCGTGACTCTCTCTGCTTTCGCTTGTTTACTTTAGAAGTATTTCATTCGCTGTCCGTCGGACAAAGTTTGTCTCGTCTTTCTGATTACACGGCCTTTCTATTGTTGTTGGGACATAAATATAGGATCGTATTTCATATAATTAAACCTTTTATCGACATTGAAGTGTTATTTATTTTATCTCAACATTTACAGGTTGTTATAGAGATTGTGCACCCCCCCACCAATGGAGCTTCCTGAAATTGATTTGCCCCCCTCATCCCTCCCCCCCTCGGAACTTATTAGGTGAAACATTTCTCGCCAGCCTCCTGTCACCGACTGCCCGCGAATCCTCCTGTCAAACCTGGCGGCAGAAACGTGGAAGAGTGCATATGCAGAAGTGTCTTCATGCTGATTCCCTTAAATCACTGTCTAATAAATCTTGAAACATGAAAATGAGGTATAACAATATTAACATAGGCCTCTGAAAGCATATATGTGGAACAGCAGACACCGATAATTAGCCAAATATCGTTTTGACAATGGCGTAGTAATACATGAACTACGTAACAGAGCGCAAGAATGAGTTGACTGGTCGCAATTTTCTTTACATTCACGATGTCAACATGGCGAGGGACTTAGTAAAAGATGGGTCAGTCTTCTCTCTTCTCTGTCGTGTAACTCCTTTATTTTTGATTTGCGCACCTTTTGCCATAGATGAAGGGTCTTATTTAACGTCAAGGTAACCATCCCATATTTTTTTTTTACTCAATTGCTGATTGTTATACACTGCAAATTTTCCCAATCTTTCATTTTCATTCCACTGGGAAATAAAAAAGTAAAAACTGCCGAAGCCACGAGTGACTGCCTTGGATTCATGGATCCTATCACAGCCAAGCGTTTCTTTGCAGAGGTTTCTATTCACGTGGGTAATTCTACTTTCTTATACAAGTGTGAAAATGGGATTATCTCATTTTCGACAAACCCGCCCCCACAGTCCACCCTACCCCCCCCACTGTCCCTTGAAGTGTATACCAACCATTGTCGTATGGTAAAATGGGTAATTTTTCATTTCAAACAGCCCTCCCACCTCAAAAATATTTTCTTTGAATCCGATGATTAACAGTGTAATATGTGTAAATCCATTGTTGTTCAAGTTGCGGAGGTAAACCCACAGATGAAAAGTTTATTTTCATTCATTATATCCAATAAATGTAAAATTTCTTTTCTAACTGAAGGCTGTGTGGAACTAAAATTATTCTGGAAAATGTACCCTGCAGATGGATATACCTTGATTCCTATACAGCACACACACAACCCTATAACTACATCCACAGAGGAGGACAGAGGAGTTTAGATTAAATCCAGATGTTGCTGGCCCAATACCTCAAAGAGAAAAAAACTGAGTTTAAGGAAATATAAATAGGGACATCTATAGGCCTACTATAATTGAATCTTACAATACAGTCAACACTTAGTGCACGGAAGAGAAATTAATTGATTTAAAATAATACAAAATCAGTTTTAAAATCTAAAAATGTGCTGTTTCAACATCAAACTACATGACTTTGAAATTAAATCCAAATTCAACCCCAAAACTGAAAATAATTGTCAAAATGAGCCCGTCAACATCTGCTCGTGAAGTTGAACAAAGACGCGGTTTCCACTTCTAACATCGCCAGGCCACGGACACTCAATGACATCCACGCCGTACAAAAGGTGAAACGTTTCCCGAGGAGAAGGCCGCCTCGTTGACCCAATACCCAACGGGACTTGTGATGGGGGAGAGAACAAAACCTAAAACAGCGAGGATGTAGGAACTTCGCGCTCTACCGAAGACGCTTCATTTTACCTCGAAATTCACGTTTTTCTCCTCGATTTAGATCATGATACGTTTCTCCTGTTCTTACCTCGGGTGAATCCCAATGTACATTTTGATTTCTCTCTTCGGGAAGCACATTTCTCGACCTTCCCATAAGCTCATCGAGCAGCGCCGCGGCCGCTTGCGTCGCCATTTTGCTCACATGGACGACCGAGCGTTGTTGGAACCTCGGCGAGATGGACATGTTTTTGTGGATATCTATTTGTGTTTATGTAATGTTTTTTTGTCATCTGTGGTTCAGGATCTCAACTCCGGTTTTTTCACATTTTTTAAGGGAAAGACTATGGACGGTTGACGTTGTTGGAACCTATTAAATGATTTCGGATTCGAGTTGAGCGTTGGGAGATTCGGAATTATCTTATAGATATAAATAGGCATAAAAATCACGGGTGGCAATTTTGTTTCATTAGCTTTACTTTCTGAAGTCAGCCTTTTGGTTTGCCATTTAATATTTCCTATCCTTTCTCTCATGCAGAATTTTAAGAAGACTTTCTAATATTTTGGATATGTATGTGCATATGTATTTTCTCTTAATTTTGATTGCGGTTTTGCTTTTAACTTCGATACGTGAGGCAGGTTTTGGAACAAAATATGGATGATTTCAAAATTGTGAGAACAGTGACCATAGATGTGTGGGGCTTTATAAAGACTTTCGATCACCCCGGCCTTACCAACGGCATTATCATATTTTTTATATATTAATAATTTCCTCATTGATTATTAGTGTGGTTTAGTATGTGATTGGATAAAACCGAGAAGTACATGAGTATTATTTTATTTTCACGATTAATTACAGCATGTGAACTGACACTACTTACGAATTCGAGAAGGAATCTGTCACCATGAATTGACAATTTTTGACAACGTGACAACCACTGAGTTGATGACAACAGAGAGGAGTAGACGTCATATAACTGTTGGATATGAATGAGTTTCACGTGTTAAAATATACTGACAGGTAGAAAATTCCACTTCTAATTTGTGAGGTGAATTCCAACTTGGCAGTAAAACCAGCGTTTCGGATACATTTCTAATATGAAATACGTTTATAGAGTATAGCTTATTATAGAAGGTATCTCTGCGCATATGCACAAAACTCATGGGCGCGCGCATAAGCACATATGCACTTTCATATTCAATTGCGCACTTTTCACTCATAGACGAACACACACACACACACACACACACACACACACACACACACACACACACACACACACACACACACACACACACACACACACACACACACACACACACACACACACACACACACAGCATAATGTACTATATTATATTTCAGATCTAAATAAAGACATTCTCTCTCTCTCTCTCTCTCTCTCTCTCTCTCTCTCTCTCTCTCTCTCTCTCTCTCTCTCTCTCTCTCTCTCTCTCTCTCTCTCTCTCTCTCTCTCTCTCTCTCTCTCTGACACACAATTAACCCTATCAAGACCAAGTAAATTTCCAGGTCCCATAAACTGCCAGAACTTCTAAGGTTAGGTGGTCAAGTTATTGCAAAAACTGACACCTATTAGTATCTTGCTCCCCACCTCATGTCCCGCAATTCCCGCTTAACGCAGAAAATTGTTCAGCACAGCAGGGTACAATACTTAAGTGACAGATACATAGGTATCTCCTTAGGAGTCCTAAGGCTGATGTGTATTTTTCTTGTGAGGTCCGTGATAGACTGTGCGTTTCCGGTTCCTAGTATGTTGCCACAAAATGCTTTCAAACCCCTATAAGTCTTATAGAACAAGGTCATAAGAGTCATTCTTGGTTACCCAGTGACTCCTATAGTTCTTGTTAGGGGGAGAGTTAGACCTCCCTTCAATTCAGAGTCGTAATAACCCAAGTCAACACCATACTCGGCTTCAGACTTCTGTAGCTTCAATCCAGACTACAAATTTCCTTTTTTATGTCTAATGATATTAATTATAGAGTTATGCATGTTCGTCGGCCTCGATACTCCAATCTCTTAAAGTCCGACTTCAAATGGAAGAGCAAATCTGCCCGAACTATACCCAGTATAATTGTGGAACACGGATGCAATTGACATCTTAGAAGCAACGCACTGTACCCTGTCATAGATTGCATGTTTTTCATATTGACAAATTAACAGGGCCTAAGTCTGCGACTTCAATAACAGAAATAAAAGGCCGTTATATAGATAAAATTCTCCATCCCCGTCATGGTGCAGTACCCCCCACTTTCAACTACTGCGAGGCCTCCACTTGTCCTCATGGAGTACCTTAAATTGCTCTTAAAGGAAGCAAGCACAACTGATGCCGAGTCAGTGGCCATATGCCATGCTACCAAACAAGGTAGTGAACAGTAGCGACACCTAGCTGCTTCCCCTGACAGCCAGGGTGCACTCTGTACACTTACTGTATTTAGTCCAGGGACCATGGTGACTAGGAATATCCTGCGCCAAATTTCAGAGCAATACAAGTGTCACTCTGCTGGATACCCTCTCATAGGATTCAGTGTGAGAAGATGGATCAGTTAGTAAAACTAGGACTTCCACGTGAATAATTATACAATGCAATACAATTATCTCTTAAAAAAAAAAAACGCGTTATCAGTTATCTTCCAAATTATGAGGGCCTGGTATGGACCATCGAAAAACTGAAGAAAAATTAAAATGATACCATTTGTTATTATGATAATATTGTATAGTGATATTTGACATGGACAAGCCATATTGTCTATAACGGACTGTCTCGGAGGCAGCAGATTGTACCAACTAGGCTACGCATAGGATATCAGTACACTATATATTATGTACAGGGTGCAGTTTTGGAAGCAAAGCCAGTTACGTATCACTACTGCAAAATGTGCAAGGTGCCCAAGTCGTATAAGCTTACACATTATTTACTTTGTTGCACGAAAACTGCAACCTATTGATCAAATAGCACTGTCCAGAGACCAGCACTTATTGATTATATCAATTTCATTATACACAGTCTTTGATATCTCCCTCCCTCTCTCCCTCCATCCCCCCCTCCCCTCCCTCTCTCTCTCTCCCAACCTCCCTCCCTCCCTTCCTCCCTCTCTCCCTTCCTCTCCTCCCTCCTCCCTCCCCTCCCTCCCCTCCCTCCTCCCTCTCCCTCCCTCCCACCCCCTCCTCTCTCCCTCCCTCTCCTCTCTCTCACTCTCTCTTCGTACTCAAACAACAGGTCCTGTCAGGGTTCGAAGTGTTTGTGGTTACTTTCGCGCCGTTAAAATGCGAAATGCGTCGGTTGCCAAGGAGGGAAGAAGCATTACGAGAGGCAGTGCCGTCTGGGAGTATTTCGGGTGATTTTTTCCTGAAGTTAGAGGGGAGGCTGAGATTATTATCGTTATTATTTTATTATTATTATAATATTATTGTTATTATCATTATTATATTATTGTTGTTGTTGTTGTTATGATTATTATCATTATAATTATCATTATTATTATCATTATTATTATTATAATTATTATTTATTATTATTATCATTATTATTATATTATTATTATTATTCATATCATCATCATCATCATCATCATTATCCTTATTAATGTAATTTTTTTATTGTCTTTATTATCATTGTTATTAATACTATTGCTATTATTATCAATGCTCCTCCTCCTCCTCATCATCATCATCATTATTATCATTGTTATTATCATCATCATTACTATTATCATCATAATCATTATTACTATTATTATTATCATCAGCAGCACTACTTCTGCTACTGCAACTATTGTAGTTATCGCTATTATAACTACTATATTCATCTTCATCATTATCATCATTAACACTACTACAACTACTGCTACTAGCATTATTATTGTAATTATTAATATTATTATCATTATTCATTATTATTATTGTTATTATTATTATTATTATTATTATTATTATCATTATTTATTATTATTATTATTATTATTATTATTATTATTATTATTATTATTATTAATACGTCTACTATTCCTATTATCATTCTAATTCTTCCTAATTATTGTTATCATTATCATTATCATCATTATCATCGCCATTAACACGACTACTGCTATTACTACTACTATCATTATTGTTGTTATTATCATCATTAACTCACTTATTATTTGTATTATTGTTGATATCATTGTTACTGTTATCATTATCATCATTATCATTATTTTTATCATTATCATTATCTTCGATTTTATTAATATAATTATCCTCATCATTATCCTCATTATTATTATTATCATTATCCTGATCATAATCATCACCATCATTATTAGTAGCAATCGTCCTAGGATTTCAACTACATCTACCATAAATACTACCATAACAACTACTAAAACTCGTAACCATAACAGCAAAACTACCAATAATGACATCAGTATTTACAAAAGCAACAACACAGTATCTCAAAACCCGTATTTTATAAAGAAAAAGGATATCCTGTTGTACTTTTTTCGAAATGGAGTTTGTCAATGTGTTCTGCGTCACTGTATTCCTCCGCGTTGTTGACGTTTTCCTCGTCCGATTCGGAAAATTAGACGCAACATTTTTTTTTTTATCCGTTAGGAAGAGGGGGAGGGGACGGAGAGGAAGTGGAAGAAAGAGAGAGGGAGAGCGGGATTAAGAGAGGAAGGGAGTGACCTAGAGAGAGGGAGAGAGAGAGAGAGAGAGAGAGAGAGAGAGAGAGAGAGAGAGAGAGAGAGAGAGAGAGAGAGAGAGAGAGAGAGAGAGAGAGAGAGAGAGAGAGAGAGAGAGAGAGAAAGGAAAGAAAAAAGAGAGAATAAGGAAAGGCAGAGAGAAAGAGACAGACATAATAGCAAGTTACAGGATATTGCTGCCTTTTCTCGCCCTGTCCCGGACACACGAACATCATTTCCTCTCCCATTTCCGTTAAGAGAGAGAAAGAGAGTGAGAAAATCGCTTTTCCCGCCATATGACATGTTTTGTCCCAGACACAAATATTGAGCTTCATGTGTCCTATTACATCCGCACTTAACGTGTATTTTTCCCTCCTGTGGAATTTTCCCGGTTAGGTTAAATTTTTGTTTTCTCTTTCTAAAAACTAATTTTTCGTTTCACTTTTCTGTTTATGATAATCATTATATCATTTTTTTTTTTTTATCAAACTGGCATAAGATATCGAACACAATTGGGCTGTTAGAAACATGAGTTAAAATTATCTTTTAATCTTCTTATCCTTAGAACTGAATACATGT